ATGTCCTCATATGAGGCCTTTAGTATGTACTGGGATGTAGTGCTTGTCATTTCTGCTGATAATGAGTAGTGCCATTCTGAAGATTGCTTGTGCGTTTCCTGTTTAGTATGTATTTCTTAATCCCGTGGTGTATCAGTTCTAACTGCTTGAATTGGGTTTATTTTCCTCCTCCTGCCATTCCTTCCCCCTTGTGCTGATTTTTTGATTTAAACCAATGAAACGGAATAAATAAAAAGTGCCTCAGACCCATAAAACAGTGCAGTTTAGAGAGAACTACATTCAGAATTTGAGAGAATAAAGCTTGTTCATCAAAACTGCTAGTTAATAATTGTCTGTTTTAATTTTAAAATTAGTTCATAAAAAGCTTGCAAAAATGAATAAAAGCAAACTGTTTGAAAGTCTTAGTTTCTGTGTTTGTTTTCTAGAAGGGATAGGTGATCACGTGCAGACTCTGTGGGTAAGTCTCAGTTTTTCAGCCAGGATTTAAAAAGACAAAGCCCTCACAGAAGTAATGGGATTTTTATCTGCTTACCTTTCACTTCAGAGAGAATCCAGGAGCTGACTGTTAAAACTTGACAAACTTTCAGCAGAAATGGGAATATATGTAACATGAGCCAGCAAGTTAGTTAAAGTGTGTAGACTGCTGATGATCCGAACTGTGCTTAATACAGCAAAGTGACTAATTTCTTCTTCTTTTGTTTTGCAGAACAAAATGTTTAAAGCTGAAGAAAGATCCCTGCTGTAGTTTAATACTTCAGACTAATGAATTTTGGTTTCAAAATGAATCAGTCATCTCTATAAATCTTGTAGCTGTTTTCCCTTTGCACCCCTAAAATGAAACTTGTTAACAGCCCTGAAAGATGCATGAAACTGGAATGACTGTACTGAAAGTATTATGATAAACTAATTGTTCCTAAGTATATTACACACAATGTAACTGGATTTATATAACCAAGATTCCACTTTAACTTTAAAAGTGCTGTTCTTGAATAAGTTGTTCTGTGTGCAGATTTGCTTTGATTTGTTAGAGATACAAGCTGTAAATGCTGCTACAGTTACTGCAAACAATAAAAATAAGAATTTTGAAAACATGCTCAGTGTGCTTTTCTAAAATTTTACGTAAAAGGTGCTAATTGTGTGAATTTTTGATACCTGTCTGTTAAGAGATTATTGATAGTATACATAAGAGAAGTTGCAGATCTGAGTCATTACTTTTCTGAAGTTAACATGTTATGATTAATATTTTTCAATATTATCATTACATTTATACTACAATGGTAAGTTACAGCAAAAGAAATTGAATGGAAAATAAAAATTACCACAGAAACATTTATAAACATAGCAGGTAACAGATGTACAACAGATGAACACTTCTAGTGTTCAATATTATTAGTGATAATGGTATTAAACCTCTTGTTTGGGTTCAGTGAATTCTGAAAGATAACTCATGTCTATGCATTTAGGAAATTACACATCACCTGCACAAATCTCATCAAAACATAAAACAAGCCCTAAAAGCTTATTGTTAGCATTTACAGCACGTTTTTGTGTTGTAAATGATAATTTGATTAATTTTTTTTTAATCAGCGATCCTTTTTGCTCTCAAGTGAGCTGTTTTTAGCAGGGGTATAACTGGAAAAACTTGGTGCCACAAAATCCAATAGTACTCTGCATTTGCTGCTAAACAGTTTCTGCAATATGTAATTGTACTTAAACACTTACCTGACTTTACTCGGGGCTTTGTATTTCTCACTTCATAACCTGTAAGTCTAGATATTGACTGTCCTATCACTAAACTTTGTGCCTTGTACCAAAACTTGAAATAATTGTCTCTAAATCTTTTGAAATATTAAATGGAAAGGAATAGCAAGTAACGAAAGTGAGATGCACCAAAAAAACAGCGTAGGGAGTTGTATATATAAGACAGAAATTTAATTTGAATTTTGGTAAAACGCAAGCTTGAAAAAGTCTATTTTTTGTCGACCATAAATATAACGTGGTTAATCTTCATTTGTAGTTTGAATTACCCTTCGTAGGCTCTTGTAGTGTGAGGGGAAAAAAGAAAGTAGTACGTCTATTCACTGATTTCTGTTATAGAAATGACTATAATTGTTATTTGATTTTCAAGCAGTTTTAATGTGTCCTAGTAATATTTGGGAACTATTTGAAAATACTAAGAGGAGATTGGGGGATTTCTGATGTTTTTTTAAAAAGTATTTCTAAACTCCTCCTCTTTTGTATGATGCAAAAATCCTTTCTTTGGACCATACAGTTTGCAATAGCGTCCACTACCACAATAATGACTTTAAAGATGAGACAGAATGTCTGTCATGTCTAAATCTCTGTGAAAATCAAAAGTCACCGCACCATACTGATAGTGAGGTTTCATAAGTTCACTGAAGGGAAAATGTCCCCCTCTATACACAACTGGATGCAGAAGGCGGCAAAGCAAAACTGTGCATTGTATAGGCCTCTTGATGGCCCAGTCTAAAATATAGAGCCAGCATTGATTCTGCTTAGTGGAAGACTATGTCATACATACGTGCTAGCACATGGTCGCCCTTGGAATTCATATCCCATTTCAGTAGAGCAGAGCTGTTGCTGGATAGGATTGCATGCTTGGTGTTACATTGTGCAGAGTGACTGCCTAAAGCTTCAGAGGTAAAATGGGAACTCCAGATCAAATATTCTTGTATCTAAGGCCCCCATTTCATGAAGTGCTTTCTGTAAATTTTCCAGGACCCCAAATACATAATTAAGAAATAAGTTTTACAAAAAGTTGGAGACATTTTGGTACCAAGGTGCTACATAGCTTGGGTTTTGCTGGATTAGGCAACTGTATGCAGCCTCAGCAAGTCAGTTACTGATAACGGTCTTGTTTTCAAAGGATTTAAAAATTGTTAACTGAAATACCCTACCTTACTCTTAACAGCGCTGCGCGTTACCATTTAATTGTGCTTAGTACTTGCAATGTACAGTCATGATACTTCAGCTACCATTTTGGTATGAAAGTGCTATTTGTTCACGAAAGGATGAATTGAGAAGTGTTTGCGGTGAGTTTAGTGTGGTTTTGAAGTACCCTATGAATGAATGAAACCTGTTGTTTGTTTTAGGTTAACCTGTTAATCCCCATATAACATCCAAGGAAGTCCACTCAAGTGGAGATGCAATTTCTCTTATTTTCTTGACAGAGGAACAGCACACTAAGATGTTTATCTTGGTCTGTGAAGCTAGGAAGACCCTTGACGTCCAGGCCTAACTCTTCTGTTGCTAATTCAGTGTGATTTCAGGCAGTCCACCTGTCTCAAGACCCCCGTGTTTAACTTCCCACATAAGCAGCATGACTACTTGCTACTTTAACAAGGTAAGCCCCTAACAAGAGCAAAACCAGATGCGTTTGGAGAACCTGTATGTAAAAGGAGATGTATTTAACACACAGTTGAAATTTACAGAACACAGTGATAAACTGGAGTGAGTCTAGTGGAGAGCCATCAGAATGGTCAGGGGCTCTTCCCCCGTGAGGAGAAGCTGAGGAACAGGGCTTGTTAGGCCTAGAGAATAAATGGTTTTGAAAGGGACCTAATAGCAGCCCCCCAATACCTATGAGGAGGTTATTGAGAAGATGGAGCTGTGCTCTTCACTGACCTGCATGACAGGAGAATAAGGTGATGATCCTATATCGATACAGGTGAGGTTCTGACTTGATATGAGGCAAAAACGTTCTTTGTGAGGATAATTAAGTGTTAGACCAGGTTGCCCAGAGGAGCTCTGGAATCTCTATCTATGAAGCCTTTCAAGACCCAGCTGGACAAAATTTGAGCAAGCTGGTCTGAATTTACTGTGACCCTACTCTGAGCAGGAGGTTGGACTGCAGACCTCTCAAGGTCCCTTCTGACTTGAATGATTCTGATTTATAATAGGAATAGAGAGGAAAGCTTAAACGTTCTGGCTATTGAATGGCGAATGCCTCTATTAGATGCCGTGTATCCTCAAAATGCAAAGAATCCTTATGGATCAGCCACTCTAACTATCCTAAATAGAATAAGAGAAAGAATTTGCTTGAGCGTGTTTCTCATGGAAGAACCTGTTGTTAAATTGCATGTATTTTCTTGGATAACTTCATGTTCAATGTCTCCCATCTTTTGGTACCTATTTTTATTTAGACTGATTTTGATACTGGTGAAAATCAGCAAGGTATTCAGGTGTTCAGCAGCACTGAAAATCGTGCCTGTTTGTCTTAAAGTATCCAAAACCAAGGAAATCCTCATTTGCAGTGTATTTGTGCTGAAGCAGACCAAACTCATATCTAAATTTTGTTGCTCATCTGCCTTTAGATTGTCTCAACTATGCAATAGTGCGCTCTGGTGTTTTCTGAGAGAATTGGTTAGTTACGTTTTCCTTGATCACTCTTGCATGGTTTGCAGTTGTGTTTTTGGCATTCTTGATTTTTCAGTAGGTATCGCAGTTCAGTATGGCATGGATTTTAAGGCAAAAATCTCTCACAAAAATAGAAGGACAGAGGAAAGCTAAAATATCCCAAAGTCCCCTATTACCATTCCTG